TCCCTTGTGTAGACCATATTCCTTCCTACCAAAGGGCCTTTGCACAGGCTGTTCTCGGCTTGTGGTTTCTCACCCTTCTTGTTTTTCCTGGTTAATCCTTGTTCATCCTCCTGATCTCCCCTGATCCCAGACCAGGCGAGTCCTTCAGTGCACACTCTCCTTGCACCCTCTCAGCCTTTACCACTGTTGTCATTTTACCCATATTATATGACTATTTGACGTCTGTTTTCCTTCCCAAAGTATAAGCACTCCATCCCCAGGGCCCATAATGGGTAATCAAGAGGTACATGTTGAATAAGCAAATGAGAAAAATGTAATTACTGGGACAAAGCATATGGGCATTTTAAAGCTCTTGATATATATTACCAGTGTGTTTTCTGGAAAGGTGGTTGCAGGGTACACTCCCATGATGCATATGAGTGTCTGCCTTGCCAACCTTTACCGTAAATTTCGCACATGCAGCAAGGCCTCAATCATCAAACAAGTTCAAGCTCCAGGATGGCCATAAAGAGTGCAGTCAGATGCAAAGACGCCGAGCCAAGCAGATGAGACAGCGGCTGAGCTGAGCCGAAGGCGCAGAGGTGGCCCCAGGTCCGGCGTGATCAGCCAGAAGACAGGAACAGTCCCCCTGACTGGCCTGTCAAAAATCAAGTCCAGCCATTCAGGCCTGAAAATCTGGGGAAACAGGCAGAGAAAAGGGCTGGAAAAAAGTTGACAGGAGAAGGAGAAAAGTCAGCTGGAGGCAGCAGAGCTCTCAGAAACGGAGGCATGTGACCACCATGAAAAGGTATCATCTGGGGACCTGCTGAAGGCCCATTTGCTCACATTTCTATCGCCTGGGCTGGGAAGACTCAAAGTCCAGGACTGCCAACCAGAGTGCCTATTTGTGGCTTTCCCTGGTAGGTGGCTTCTAAGATCCTTAGAAGGATCCTTGCCTTGTGGATTCATCATCTTGTGGAGCCCCTTCTAACCAACAGGATAGCTCAAAGTTGATCCAATTGCAAGAGACTAATTTCCATCTTGCTAGCATTCTCCCTTCCTTGCAGGCTTTGATGGAATAAATTGCTATGTGGGGAGTCCCACATGGCAAAGAGCTCAGTTCTAGCTGGCTAAAAACAGAGGTCTTGGGTCAAAGAGCCTTCAAGGAATGGAATTCTGCCATATGAGCTTGGAAGCAGATCCTTCCCCAGTTGAGCCTTCAGATGAGACCCCAGCCTTGGCTGACACCTTGACTGCAGCCTGTGAGAGACTCTGAGGCAGAGGACATGGCTGAGCCATGCCCAGACCCCAGACCCACAGAGGCTGTGAGGTAATACAGGTGAGTTGTTTAAAGCCACTGAATTTATTTGTTACACAGCAATAGATAACTCACACATGCCCATGGGCGTATGGAGGTCTCAGGGTGGTCAGACTCTGCCATGGTCATGCAAGGCTCCATGTGCAAAGGTTCCAGAAGACAAGGCCACAGCTGCATCCCCTTTTCTGACCCGGCTGTGGAAGTCACTTCTGCCTCCTCTCGGTAACCATTAAACAAATCCTCCCAGATTCAAAGGGAGGAGACATAGGTCCTCTCAATGGGAGGAATTTCCAGGTCACATTGTGAAAAGGCACGTGGGATGGGAGACCTCGCTGCGGCCATTTTTGGAAAATCTGCTCTGCCTCAGCCCATCCTTGGGCCACAACAACCTACAGTCCTCCCACATGCAAAAAACACCTATCCCCACCGTGGGACACCTCCAGCCTCATCCACTAAGGCTTCTGGCTCAGATTCGAGGCCCAGGATCTAGTCATGAAAATCATGGCCTGCTGCAGAGGAGACTGCTCGGGGTGGGGGTCTTTGGGTCCTGTTCCCGGGGGTGGTGCTGGGGGTGTCCTTCCTGCCTTTGGCTCGGTCCTCTGAGTCATCCTTCCCTCTCATAAGAAAGCTGACTCTGCAGATAAATGGCCTTCTCCTCCTGCTTCCTTCCTCTAAAAGACTGAGGATCTAGAAGCCTCTTTCATTCTGTCCTGTCTTACTCCCCTACAGCACGCGTACCAAATTCCTTTAGAAACTCAGGAGCTTCCTATGTGTCTATTTAAAATTGACTCCTTTAGGGACGGCCCGGTGGCGCACTGCTACAGTGCGCTGCTTGGGAGCACGGCGGCGCTCCCGTTGAGGGTTCGGATCCCACATACAGACCGGTTCCCGCTCACTGGCTGAGCGAGGTGTGGGCGCAGCACCGAGTGTTGTGATCCGTTGCCAGACACGAACAAAGACAAAAAGGAAAAAAAAAATTGACTCCTTTAGACAAAAACCTCACCCACAAAACTTTTTTTTTAAATGAATAGATTTTTTTTTCTTTTTTTGAGCAGTTTTAGGTTTACAGAATAGTTGAGTGGAGAGTCCAGAGAATTCCTGTACGCCTCCTCTCCCCTTCCCCCCCCGCCCCCCCAAAACTTTTTTTTTTTTTTTTTTTTTTTTTTTTTTTTTTTTTT